ATGCTACTTTCTGCATACATGCCAAAAAGGTTACAACTAAGAGGGCTCACTCATGGAGTTGTCCTTTGTCAGTTTTTCTCTTTTCTTCCTGTTGTAGGAAAAATACCTGCATGAAAGTGGCTGAAAGCCCACAGCTTCCTCACTCATGCTGACCCCTGAAGAAAGCTTAACAGAAAGCAGTCATTAATAGGAGGGGGCAGGAGAAAAGAAGGAAGATAATACAATTTGTTAGAGTCATCTCTCCTCCAAACCCTGGTGATGGTGTTGCATTTATTTTTGGTGATCAATTTGACCATCTCTAGCATAGCTGCTCAGGAGCTGAAAAATTACAATTGCCCTCTCTGAATTCATAAATAAAGTAATGTGCAAGCTGACAAACAACTACAAGGGGAAAATATATGTGCCCTTCATAAGCAAGACAAATTACTTGTTCTTACTGAATGCTTCCAGCAGGAGCTCACTAATTTGATATATATTTGCAAAACATATGCATTGTGTCCAAAGCAATACATTAAGAGAGATCCACCTGGTTGCCTTGATTAGGTTATTCAACCCAGAGTTACCACAGATTCAGAGACACATTCTGAAAAAAGGAACTGTTTATATGGAGACCAGTTTACCAATAATATAAAGGATTTATTGGTGGCTTCTTACTTTGAACAAATCTTTCAAACTAAAAGCAAAACTCAAGTTATGAAACAGCAATCATTTCACAAACAGCTTCACATGACCTATTCCCAACCCATCCACCTCCAAGAGCCAGAGTGGTGGTGTGGTTTGAATGCTGGACAACTCCCTTCTTTGGAGATCAGGGTTCGATTCAGCATGGAAACTCACTGGGTGATCTTGGGCAAGTCACACGGTCTCACCCCCAGAAAACCTTTGGGTCATCATAAGTCGAAATTGATTTGAAGATGCACAACAACAATAACAACTCACACCCTGGCCAATATTTTAAAAACATGAAATGATTTTTCATCTGGGGATTTGGTCATAAGATTTCCCCTTAGACCAAGAGCTGCTTGAATTATACGCTTATCAGTTCAAATTATAAGCCTCTTTAATTAGGCTTGGCAGCAAACAATTATGCACATGAGACCTAAACAGACATGCAGCAGTAGTTGCATGTGATGCTCCAGGCAATGACAAAGGAGAGTCAAACAGGACCCTTCAGCTATCATTAGTCAGTGGTGCAGATACCAGATGATGAAACAATAAAAAAAGATCTCTCCACAGAACATGAAAATCTTACACTTCTACAAGAACCAATATAACAGTGTGAGTGTCCGGTTCAGAGGTTCAATAGATAAGTGGGATGCAGCAATCAAACAATCAAATTTTTGAAATTCTCTGCTGAAATGAGAGGTGCTTCAAACATTAAAATCCTTCTATACAAATTCCATGTAATGTACTTCTAAGTAGGATGAAGCATCACATGCATTTATTGATATTTGACATTAGTTTGACTCAAATTTCCACACTAGCCCTATTCACCTTTACTCAGAATGCATGAGGGCTAAAACGGGGGGTCCAGGTGGACCACAAGTTGAACATGAGTCAACAGTGCAATGCAGCA